TCATGTGACAATTTAAACCAATCAATGTTTAGAGTTACTCACATGTGACATTAGTAAGCTTAGGAAAGTGATAATAAAACAATGGTGTTTTAGGAGCAGCATCACCTACTCTCTTCAAGTATTCAACAACATCATCTGAAAATAACAAAAACAAGTCATGTCATGACAAAGCCCCTGTTGGTTCAATAGTACTGAAACAAGTGACATGATGTATAAGGTAGTTGTTAAAGAAAGGTAGTTGTTAAAGAACGGTAGTCGTCGCGTCACACATGCAGGAGATATATGGGTCTCATATAAACAAAGATAGGGACTTTGTTGCTCAGATCAACGAGTACAAACTGAGACGTTTCCAAGCTTTAATTAGGTAATTTTCATGTGATTGGAAGGTATCAAAGGAGTCACCGGCGGTAATCAGTGCAAGTCGCGCCCAGGTCAAACCTCATACTTGTGATTTCCATTAGTAGAACCCATTGGATTGTGGAAAAATCAATGTTTATCAACATAAATGTCACACATGCGCATGTCAAAGACATGGCTCTAGAATAGCATTTGTATTTGGCCATTTTTAATCTGTTTTGAAAAAAACATTATGGTCCTGTTATATATGTATATATAAGTTGAATGTATATGTATCAATAGCAGTCTATGTATAACCAAACTCTGGGCCAAGAATGGCTGAAATGATTGATTTTGAGACACTTTTAACTATAAGATATGACATGATGTTTGAACATGATCAGTCAAGCAATGTGAAAGATTGACCCTGGAAATACATTCTATAAATGTCAGCAATTTTGAATTAGACCTGGAAAACAAAGTCGACATACATCAAGATCCCATAATATCTACAATGCATTACAAAATTTGAATAAAACCCATCTAAGCATGACCAGGATTCAGTTCTGGAATGGCATAAATGCTTGATTTTGATGACTTTTAACATTAAAACATTCTGAGTCAGATCAAGAAATGAATGAGCTTGCATACGTATCCAAAGATACATAATATACATGTGAAGTTTGAAAGTGATTGGCCTATCCTTGTCTAAAATACAGTTGCAGATGGACAAAAGTCAATCCATAAGTCTCTGTTCTTGGACAATGACGAAACGAAAATGAAAAGCAATTTTTTT